CCTACACTTTAGGTAGTTTTAGCAAAACAGTTAGGAGCAAAGGTTCTGGAGTCACTGCCTACATTCCCATCCCTGCTTTGCAACTCACTAGGTGTGTGTCCTTAGACAAATGACTTACCCATTCTAGTCTCTGCCTTTGGCTCAGGTTGTGATCCCGGGGTCCTGAGATCAAGTCCTGCATCAGGCTCCCCTAGGGAAGCCTGTTTCTCTCTCTGCCTATGTCTCTGCCTCTCTGTGTCTCTCATGGATAAATAAATAAAATCTTTTTTTTTAAAAAAATGACTTACCCAATCGGAGAAGAACAAACATTATATGTTCTCATTCATTTGGGGAATATAAATAATAGTGAAAGGGAATAGAAGGTAAGGGAGAAGAAATGGGTAGGAAATATCAGAAACGGAGATGGAACATGAAGACTCCTAACTCTGGGAAATGAACTAGGGGTGGTGGAAGGGGAGGAGGGTGGGGGTGGGGGTGAATGGGTGACAGGCACTGAGGGGGGCACTTGAGGGGTGAGCAATGGGTGTTATTCTGTATGTTGGCAAATTGAACACCAATAAAAAATAAATTTATTATTAAAAAATAAAATAAAAATGACTTACCCATTCTAAAACTCCCTTTCCTCGCGATAACATTGATGCCCATCGCCCAGGGCTATTGTGAGGCTCACATAGAAAATAATGTCTTCATTAATGTCTTCACATAATGCCTGCCACGAAGTACACACTAGTTGTTGCTATTGTTGTTTTGGCAATAGTAGTTATCTTGCACAGTATCAAACACTAGTAAGAAGGTAGAAATCCTAGTCTTCTGACTCCAGATCCCAGGCTCTTTCTCTTACCATGTGTAATAGCTCTACAGAATGTTTATTGCTTCCTTCAGTGATTAAAATACCTCAGGACTGTTTCTGTAATCCAGGGACGCTGAAGGATTCTAATTATGCAGAGCCACAAATAAAAGGTCACTGTTAGTAGAAAAAGACAATGTTGTATCACTGTTCTTTGCTCTTGCTTGAGAAAAAGAGCCCACATATCAGACTGTGTCTTAGCTCCCAAGAACTATACTTCCCAGGAGTTATCATTCTCGGTTACCAAAATGAGTTTCAGGGGCACGTGGGTGGCTCAGTGGTTGAGTGTCTGCCTTCAGCTCAGGTCATGATCCTGGGTCCGGGGATAAGTCCACATTAGGCTCCCCACAGGGAGCCTGCTTGTCCCTCTGTCTGTGTCTTTGACTCTCTCTGTGTCTCTTATGCATAAATAAATAAAATCTTTTAAAAAACAACAACAACAACAAAAAACCCACAACAAATTTCAGTCCTGCCAATCAAAAGCACTGCCTGTGATTTGACAGTTGAGAGGCCACAGTATCCTCTCTGGTGCTAAACGGTGACATCAACTGTTTGTCTCCCTTGCAGAGTTATCCTCTAATATTTTGCTCCAACTTCCTCCAAACAAAACAACTGGCGCAGCTGCCAGTGTGACTGGCTGGCTTTCTGGTTCACTGCCTACTTAGACGTAAATAAATGGTACACTTGCTCCCCACTTTAACTACCATTGGGCATGGCTTGGCTCAACTCCAGGCTCCTTGGGTACTGAACCTTGTAGAGTTCCTAAAGTTAATTTTCCAGACTAACTGCAACCTCATATGAACTTCATACAAGGCAGCTCTGGAGAAAGTCACACTGACTTTGCCATATCACTTAAAAATAATTTTTTTAACTGTCAAAAAGAAATCTTCACCAACATAGATCAGTTGCTGGGCCATAAAACAAATCTTAACACATTTCAAAGAATGTAAGTCATACAAAGAGATTTCTCTGAAAACAATGGAATTAAGCAAGAAATAAGTAATAAAAAGATACCTCGAAAGCCCCCAAGTAGTTGGAAACTGAACAACACACTTCAAAATAAACCACGGGTCAAACAGGAAGTCACAAGATAAACTGGAAAATACTTTGAGATGAATGAAAATGAAAATGCAACATATTAAAATTTCTGAGATGCACTTAAAGTAGTGCTTAGAGGAAAATGTATGGCGTCAAAGGCTTATATTATCAAGAAGAAATATCTAAAATTAGGAGTCTAAGTCTCCATCTTAGAAAAAACTAGAAAAAGCAGCTAAAAGCAAAGCAAGCAGAAAGAAAAAAATAATAGAGATGAAATCAATGAAATTGAAAAACATAAAAATCATAGAGAAAAATCAACTAAATCAAAAGTTGTTTCTTTTAAAAGATCAATAAAATTGATAAAACTTAGTCAAACTGATAAAGAGAAAGAAGGGGGAAAAAATCAAATTACTAACATTAAGAATGACATGGGATAAGCCTGGGTGGCTCAGTGGTTGAGTGCTTGCCTTTGGCTCAGGTCATGATCCTGGGGTTCTGGGATGAGTCCCACGATGAGTCCCCCTTGCTTATCCCTCTGCCTATGTCTCTGCCTCTCTCTGTGTCTCTCATGAATAAATAAATAAAATCTTAAACACACACACACACAAAATTACTTACCTATTAGACTGGCTAAAATCAAAAGACCTGAATACCAAATGCTGGCAAAGATGCAGAGTAATTGGAACATGGCTGGCAGGATGTAAAATGACAGTCACTTTGGAAAACATTCTGGCAATTACTTACAATAACATACACTTATCCTGTGACCCAGCAGTACTCCTCCTAAGTATTATTTTCCCAAGAGAAAGGAAAACAAATGTTCACACAAAAGACCATGCATGATGTTCACAGTGGCCTGATTCATAATCACAAAACTAGAAACAACTCAAATATTCTTCAACTGGGAATAAACAGTCTGGTTTATCCATTCAATGGAATACTACTCAGCAATAAACATGAATGAACTACTTATAAATGCAACTACATAGATGAATCTCAAACTCATTATGTTAAGTAAAAGAAGGTTAGTTAGCCTCAAAAGGTGACATTTATATGCCATTCAGGAAAAGGCAAAACTACAGAGACAATCAGTGGTTGCCATCTGCAATTTCTAGGAGGTTCACAGACCACATGTAGCGCATCCCAAGACCCCATCTATATGCTACTCCGTGTTCAAGGCAGCCACCCATTCCTCTCCTCAGAGCTCCAGCTCCTTCCTGAACCCTAACCAGATTTACCTTTAGGGGCATGATGCTTGGTGTGGGATTGGTTCCTGTTTCATAGACAGTATGACACTTTTCTCTCCTCAGGTATCACTTCTGGGGCAAACCACCTATCTCAGGGCTGGGCATACTGCATGGGATTGGTAGTAAGGCATTGTGGCAATCTGCCTAGTAGCAAACTATTTCATGATTTCCCCAGGTCCATGAACTTCCCACCGTTGTGCTGTGACCTGAGTGAATGGGAGCCAGTTGGGAGAAGGATGAGAATAAGGAACCTAAAAGAAGAACACCCATCTGGCTCAGTGGGTAGAGCATTGACTCTTCATTTCAGGGTCCTGAATTGGAGTCCCACATTGGGCATAGAGATTTCTTAAGGAAAAAAAAAAAAAAAAACCTAAGCCAAGGTGGGTTCTGTAAATCTCCACCTCCCACATCAGAAAGCCCAGCTATGTAGGAAGTCAGTGGTGATGGATCCCCAAGCAAATGGAAGGAAGTGTTGACTTGAACCAGCTTCAGTCATCATACCTCCCTCTCTCTACCTTTCGCTCATTCACCATTCTTTTTTTTTTTTTTTTTTTTTTTTTTTAAGATTTAATGTATTTATCCATGAGAGAGACACAGAGAGAGAGGCGGAGGCACAGGCGGAGGAGCAGCAGGCTCCCTGCAGGGAGCCCCGTGCAGGGCTCATCCCAGGGCCCCAGGGCAGCCGCTCACCCCCGGAGCCCCAGGCGCCCCTCCGGCAGGCAGGCTTCGGCAGGATGCTACAGCACCGGTGTGGACCGACACAGAAGCTCGCCCTCCAGGCGTTTGCAGCCGGCGCTGCAGACCAGGGGGCTGAGCCGTCAGTTCTCGGGGCGCGCGGGACCCGCCCTGGGCCGCGCGGGCGAATTGAGCGCGGGGGGGCTGCGGGGCGCTCGTGGCGCGGGCGGCCCCCGCCCTGCAGCCGCCCACCGGGGCCCTTCCCGCAGCCGCGCGGCCGCCAGCCCCAGGCCAGCCCGGGCCCGCGGGGATGGCGGCGGCGGCGGGGCGGGGCCCGCGGGCGGTCGCGGCGCAGGGAGTCTCGGGCTGGGGAGGCGCGCGGGCCGGGACTGCGGGCCCCGCCGCCAGGTGCGCGGCTCCAGGGGCGCGGCGGGCGGGGCGGGGGGCGGCCCGGCCCGGGGGGGGGGGGGGGAGGGGCGGGACTGCGCGGCCCTGCTCCCCGCCGGGCTTCCCCCCCCCCGCCCCCGCGGGGACCCAGCCCGCGTCTCCTTGCCCGAGGGGGGGGGGTAGGGACCGACACCCGCCGACATTAGAACCGGGGAAGCCCGGAGCCTTCCCAGGCCGCAGCCGGCTCAGGTGTGCTAGATCGCAGGAGCTCTGACAGTCAACAAGACCGATTGCCTTACAGCTCGGTTCATTTTTGGATGACGGGTTGTATTTTAACTTGCAGGGTGTGTACCGGGACGGCTAGAATCGGTCCCGAGGGCAGCGAGCCCCGGCCGCGGGGTGACCTGTAAAGGAACCCGCGGGTCCCCACCTGGTTAACCAGCGCGCTCCGGCTCCCGCTCCGGCTCCCGCTCCGGCTCCTGCTCCCGCTCCCGCTCCGGCTCCTGCTCCCGCTCCCGCTCCCGCTCCCGCTCCGGCTCCCGCTCCCGCTCCGGCTCCCGCTCCCGCTCCCGCTCCGGCTCCCGCTCCCGCTCCCGCTCCGGCTCCCGCTCCCGCTCCGGCTCCCGCTCCGGCTCCCGCTCCCGCTCCGGCTCCCGCTCCGGCTCCTGCTCCCGCTCCCGCTCCGGCTCCCGCTCCGGCTCCCGCTCCCGCTCCCGCTCCGGCTCCCGCTCCCGCTCCGGCTCCCGCTCCGGCTCCCGCTCCCGCTCCGGCTCCCGCTCCCGCTCCCGCTCCGGCTCCCGCTCCCGCTCCGGCTCCCGCTCCCGCTCCCGCTCCCGGGGCTCCACCAAGGCCCTGGCTGAGCGCGGCTCCAGGGCAGGCCGTTCGCGCCGATGTTTCATGAGCGACATTTTCAGACTGTGTGAAGATCCGTTTTAAGATTTAGTCCTCTATGATGGAGAAGTATGAAAAAATCGGGAAAATTGGCGAAGGATCCTATGGAGTTGTGTTCAAATGCAGAAACAGGGACACGGGTCAGATTGTAGCCATCAAGAGATTTTTGGAATCAGAAGATGACCCTGTCATAAAGAAAATCGCCCTTCGAGAAATCCGCATGCTCAAGGTAATGGGTTCTTTAAAGTGAATTTCCAGGGGCTAAAAACATTAAACTGACTGCTGTTATGTTTAATAAATGTGTTAACATCTCTTTCCTGCACGGGCTTTTGTCCTCATGGACACAGACAGGACGTCCGTGTACGGGTCACCAATTACATAATGAGCTAGAAAGCAGGGACACCAGTGCAGGGAAAGATGGAGATGCTTGTTGGGACGTTTCGTTTTTCTTCCCCATAGCTTCTTTCCCATGTTGGCTGCAGACCTGGTACTTCAAGAGCCATCAACTTTGATACTGCAGAAACTTACCACAACCCCAGTTGGTTACCATTTGTGAGTTTTAGACTTTCAGGCCATCTTCTGTTAACATTCTCAGTCCCTGAAGATCATTAATCATTCACCTGTTTTCAAACTGCTAGGAAGCTGTCGGGTTTTCTTTACACTTTACATTTATCTGCTGCTGAACATCATAATGTCCTTTCTCTAGAAAAAAAAATTTAAAATATTTTATTTATTTTTTCATGAGACACACAGAGAGAGAGAGAGAGACAGAGGCAAAGACACAGGGAGAAGCAGGCTCCATGCAGGGACTCCATCCCGGGTCTCCAGGATCACACCCTGGGCGAAAGGTGGTGCTGAACCACCCAGACTGCCCGAAAAAAATATTTTTTAAAGAGATTTTTTTACTTATTGATTTGACACACAGCACAAGCAGAGGGAGAGGGAGAAGCAGACTCCCCACTAAGCAAGGAGCCCCAAAGTGGGGCTCAATCCCAGGACTCTGGGATCATGACCTGAGTCGAAGGCAGACACTTAACTAAGCCACCCAGGCACCCCAAAAAGATTTGTCTTAAAGAAACAAAATGATCACTTTTAAAATGTTTGTTGACCCTAGAAGACCATGAAATAAGAAGCGGTGGAAAAAGTTGTTTATTACAACCTGAAAATATTTTTTCCTGTAATAGAAAGAGGGTGCTTTTCTGAATTTCTGTGAAGAGGAAACCCAAATCCCAACATGGAGTGTGAAACGTATGAACCCAGTGAGGTTAACTTGGTCTCAGACAGTTGAGGCCTCTATATTGGGACGCATATAACCAATCGACTATATGACAAGCAAAGAGCAAACTGGTGGGGGAGGTAAGGGGAACATCCAGGAGATTTTCACTTATCCTTGCCTCTGTTTTCTCCAGGCGTCTCTAAAAGTCTCTCTTGCCCATGGCTTGAGTGTGTGGAGTAATCTCTGAATAAGGATCCTGGTGTGAATTAGCAGGCTTTGGGTAAATTTAAATGGGTGGGTAATGGGAAACCTCTCTGCGTTTGGGATGTTCTCTACTAGCAGGATGTTATCTACTCTGAGAAGACACTTCCAAGGTTCCCCTACTCCCACTCCGATAGGGTCTCCCCTAGGAAAGGGTGAGACTGGCAGTGTTTGCCCAGCCCATGCCCTGGACTGCTCTCCCTTTACCCCGACTACAGGGACAGGTTCTCACCTTTTCTTTTGGGCTGATCTGTGTTTTTTACTTTCTCAGGCTTTCCCTAGAGGAGAAGGTGATAACTTAGTTTCAAAGGATTCATTTACTCCAAAAAAAAGACAGTCTGTTTCTAGTGGAGAGATACTTTTTCTGATTCTGAAGGTCACCTATGAATGCCTCTCAACCCTCTTCAATACTGGGTTTACAAGTGTAGCCCTCTGAATTAATTGAGCTGCTTCCGGATGGGGACCTCTGTGTCTCTGTATGGATTACTAAGCACATAGTAGGCCTCCAATAAATGTTACTGTAGATTGAAAAAAATGTTAACAAAATAAGCTCTTAGGTAGGGTGGTTGTTGCCAATGAATTAAGAAGTCAGATGTGTTCTCTTATTGATGCTATCTAGAGGAGTTGTGTGCACAGGAGCCTGATTACGAGGCACAGAGAACCCTATTCTTCAAAATGAAGTGCACAGAGGTAGACTCCCCCAATCTATATGAGGTGATGGGACTAGATGACTGTTAGTGTGTGTCCTTCAAAGCCCTAACTTTTCAGCATGCTGTGATGTTCCCAACATTTACCGGGTACTTAAATATTTGCTGAAATAGTGAATTGAAAGTTTCTTAAATGAAGTCACATTTTCTCCATGTAATTTTTCAGTAAAGTGTATAGAGCCTCTTTGTGTCTAAAACAATGTTTTTTTAAAAAGGTTTTATTTATTTTAGAGAGAGGGTGAGCAAGTGAGCCCGTGAGCAGGGGGAGGGGCAGGAGAGGGAGAGAGAATCTCAAGCAGACTCCCCGCTGAGTGCCAAGCCAGCTCCGTGCTCAGCATTAGGTCAGCCTCGTTGATCTCATGATGCTGAAATTGTGACCTGAACCAAAACCAAGAGTCCAGTGCTCAACCAACTGAGCCACCCAGGTGCCCCTAAAACAATGTTTATATGAAAGTATAAAATAAATTTCAGATGGTTAACTCATGGAAGGGAAGTAAGATAAATTTCTTCTTGGCTGTCACTCCTGATAAACTGGATTCCTATGTCTCCATTCCTGACAAGAACCCTCTAAATAAAAGTGTTTAAGAGGCACATTTGAACTAGACTTCGAAGTGTTTAGGAAGGCATGGAATGAGAAGGCATTCAGGGCAGTTTCTCCTAGGAAAAGGTGCATAAGTAGAAAGCAATATATTGAGGGAATACAGGTTATAACCCTAAAGTCTTAGCCAAGATTGCCTGCTGGGTGCTAATGGGCCAGGAAGAGAAGGAAAGGAAGCCAGGGTTCGGTAGAAGGCAGTGTGAGGAATTTCCTGAATGTAGGTGTGGCCTGGGATAAGTGAACGCTTTGCACAAAGCTATACCTTGGTCCCAGTTGGCCTTTGGGGTCTGGCGCTTGACTCCAGGGGACATGTTGTAGTCCTGGAGAACAGGAAACTGAGGAGATCTAGGCAGATGTTTTAGGGCCCACATCTGAGCTGGAATTCAAGGGAGGGTTCCAGTGGCCTGTGGGAAGAGGAATCCTAAATTGTGAACAAAGCACAGGAGTGTGGGCCCCGGGGAAGTTTGCTGCTCAGTGAGTTTGAGTTCTTGGCACTATACTGGCACACTTCTTGTAGAGCTGTGCTTTTAATGACCCCTGCTAAGGTCAGGACCTAGGAGGATTGAGGCTGAAGGTTACCTCAGTAACATTAGCCAAAGCATGTGGGGACCAGCAGGGGCTGACCCCCTGACCACTCCTATTACAGTAAAAAAAAAAAAAAAAAAAAAAAAGACACGTAGATTAAGACCAGGTGTAGAAGGCTTTGAATTCCAGGCTAAGGAGTTTGGCTTTCTCCTGCAAAGCAAGAAGACAGCCAAAATTTTTCTAATTAGACAGTTGTCATTTGTGGACTTCTGGATTTTTTTTCTTCTCCACAACCCCCCCCCCCCGATTTACTAAGTGACATGTAACACTGTGTAAATTTAATGCCTACAGTATGCTATTTGTTACACATATGTATTATAAAACGATTACCACAATAAGGTAGCTACCACCTCCATCACCCCGCATTTTTTTGGTAGTTAGAGCATTTAAGATATATTCTCTTAGCCACTTTCAGGTATATAATATGTATTGTTAACTGTAGTCATCATGTGTACATTAGATCACTTGGAACTTTGTCATCTTTTACCTGGAAGTTTGTACTCAATCTCCCCACCCTTCAGTCCCTGCCAACCGCCATTCTGCCCTCTATTTTTATGAGTTCAGCTTTTTTAGATTCCATGTATAAGTGAAAACATCCAGTATTTGTCTTTCTCGGACTTATTTCACTTAGCATAGTGCCCTCAAAGTCTATGTCCTTGAAAATGGCAGGATTTTCTTCTTTTTATGGCTAAATAATATTTGATTATACACACACACACACGTGTGTGTGTGTGTGTGTGTGTGTATGTGTATATATATATAATTTCCCATGTAGACTTTTGGATTTCTTGGATCTGTAAAATCATTATTATTATTATTATTTTGCAAATTGGGATAGTGTTGTCAGTATTTTTAAAAAACCAACTACCCTCACCATCATTTCATAAAATAAAGGACATTTTAATATTTTTTTAAAAAAGGAAAGACAATTTTATTATTTTTTTAAAGGTTTTATTTATTTATTCATGAGAGACGCAGAGAGAGAGAGAGAGAGAGGCACAGAGACATAGGCAGAGGGAGAAGCGGGCTCCATGTAGGGAGCCCAATGTGGGACTCTATCCCGAGACTCCAGGATCACACACGGGGCCAAAGGCAGTGCCCAACCACTGAGCCACCCGGGCTGCCCAAGACACAATTTTATTTTATTTTTTTTGATTTTTTTTTAATTTTTATTTACTTAGGATAGTCACAGAGAGAGAGAGAGAGGCAGAGGCACAGGCAGAGGGAGAAGCAGGCTCCATGCACCGGGAGCCCGATGTGGGATTCGATCCCGGGTCTCCAGGATAGCGCCCTAGGCCAAAGGCAGGCGCCAAACCGCTGCGCCACCCAGGGATCCCTCAAGACACAATTTTAGACAGAAGCACAGTCTTCCTGACAAGTACAAATAACATCTGTGTAGCTACTTTTCTGTAGTGGGTGAATAATGTGTGTGATTATGTGTATGTCTGTGTATGTGTACCATTATTTTTCTCATTTCACTGTCTGCTGATGAAAATGGTCGCCTTGTTTACTTTGTGCAACCTAAATGGCCTGAAAGTTAGCACTGTGTCTGGGAACGAAAAGATTCCACAGGTCAGGTGCTGTCCTGCTTATAGAGTCTGTGGCTGAGACAGTGAAACACTTGCGTGACAAAAGAACTGAATGGTCCTCAGATTTGTAATAGAATTTGGCTTCTATCCATCCTCAGAGAATTCCTTGTGTGTTTTTAAAACTGTTTATTTTACAATTTAGAGCAACTCCCAATAATTGCTATTGGACTCTTAAAAAAATTATGGTTGTTTCCTCTTCCTCTGAAGCAGATAAGATCACAGGAACAAATCATCTAGCAGTCAGTTGCATAATTTTCAAGGCAGCATACCTAC